AGCTAACGTTCAGTCGCCCGAGCTAGTTTCGTAATCGGGTCTGTCTTTCTGGGTGAGTCGACTTCTGATTCAGTAGTCTTTCGTCTTCTTTGGGATTTGACGTGTTGTAGATGTGTAGCAAAAATCAGGGCTGGGAGTCTCTCGTCTTAACCATTTGTTGGAAGGGGATAGGTGCAGATGCTTCACACCAACCGATCCTCACCTGCCTACCCCATTTGTTTTGGTTTGTTTTGAGTTGTTTATCTCATGTTTGGTGTGCTTATCGCCTTGGGCAACTCAACGTGTACTATACTCTCATGATGCTTACACCTCGTTTGATGCTATTACATAAGAGGGATCTGTTGGCTATTTGCCTGGATTGTTCAAACCCGTCATAGCACGGATGATCTGTCAATACATTATTTTGGACTTGTTTGTCCTTCCGGCTCTTCCATTTCATCCTCACACATTGACCTCAAATCATATACATGCCCCCAACTTTAGGAATGGATCTCCCATTCGAACACTAGCGTACAAGAATTTGTTGTGCGGAATCACTAATTTGGTCACTGTCTTCTGCGTTCCTTAACCATTGAGTTAAATCAGGGGGGATGTCTACCAATACCTGCATGTGCCACATCTTAGAAGATGAGTTTCCCCTTGATAACTCGTCAGCTGCGTTGTCTAAGGACGTGACTCTTTTCTGCTTTAATTGGCAATCGTGGCTGTAGAGAAGTTTGCTAATTTCCTTCCACTCGCTATTTACCCAGAAGTCTCTTGACCTCTCGTTTCTTAGCACACCTTCCGTCGTGGTGTTGTCTGTTAAGACAAGAAACCGATTTCCTTTAACCTCACTTACTTTGTTTAGTGTTAAAAACCCCAACCTGATTGCTACTGTTTCCAACCATGCAATGCCCCGTTTCGGTGAGTTCGGTGGTTCCTCCCAACCAGGTCGTAATATGAATTGTGACCAGTTCTGTCCTATGATTACGCCGATTCCGAAAGAGGTAGACGCGTCGCCTACCCAGCCGACGTCGATGATCTCTCTTCTTTTCAGTAGGTGGCGGTTTGGAAAGTTATTCAAAGCTTCGAGCCAGACTAACATGTCTGACCTGACTGAAGAGGGCAGCTTCCTTTTAGCATAATGATCTGCCCACTCCGAGAGCCATCTAAAATTGTTGGAGAGATAGCATCGTAGTTGTGGTAGAATGTAGGATACGTGGTTTAGCCTACCATTCATTTTTTCGACGTCTCTGTGAGTGTAATCGGTTTTGTTGAGGAACTCCGTGAGTTGTGTGACACGTTGTTCAAGCTTTTGAGGAGGTAAGCTAACAACTTTTGACTTCAGATTCCAAAGGAAACCGATATACTTTTGCTCGTCTGCAAAGTGTGAGAATTTCGTGTCATTCGTTTTTACTCCTAGTGCTGAGCTATATTCGACTACTTGGTCCATGTTTACTGGGTTAGACGCTTTTTTGATGAGGAGATTATCATCAACCCAACGGAAAGCCTTTAGTAATTTAAAATGAGCTTCTACTAGGTCCTTCCATGCATCGGCGGGGCCCCCGAAACTTCCACAACCCGCTACTCCACCAAAGGAAATGCACAGATCTATGTACACGAAACCATCCGGGCCCAAAATCAGGAGATATGGCCATTGATCCGGCCTGACTGGGATTTGGCAATAAGCCTTCTCCCAGTCGAAGAGTGCGGCTTGGACGGGTTCGTCTACCTCTGCGACGAATTCTGAAGCTGTTGAGAAGTTGTCCCAGGTGGTTTTAAAGTCGTCCTTGTTTACAAACGAGTTTACGCTGGGAATTTGAGGGTTGTTTTTGGGGAAAGACAAATCGTTTATTGGCCGGAAAGAGCCGTCACCATTCGTTACGGCTCCTAGAGGGCTCGACCGGAAGAACGGGAACTTGGCTTTCAATTCATCAATGGTGAAAGGACCACACATCCGTCCTGCTGCTACTTCTTTGTTAATGTTTTCCATGATCTTTTCCGTGACTTCTTCTGCCGATTTGTGGTTAGGCGGTATAAAGAATGGCAGGTCTCCAATTCGGTGATGTGGAACTCCCTGATCGAAGCCGTTCTTAAAACCGTCGATTACAAAACCGTATTGATCTAGTAGGTTTTCTCTCCGCAACTCGGATTCCCATAGGTCTACGTCCATCAAGCAGTGAATCTTTGTTGGCCACGGATGTCGTGTTTGCACCTTTGGTGAGATTGGTAGCGTCGTCTTCTCCACTTGACTTTCAGTGAGTTGCTTTACTTGGGATTCGTTTCGCTGCTTCTCGGGCAAATCTTCTTCAAGTGTTTTGTCTTCTTGAATTAAGTTGTCACAACGTTTCTCAGGGATGGCTATCCTATTTGGTCTTTTTGTTTTGTTAAAAAGAAACGAGCAAAATTAAAAACGAGTGTGTTATTTCGCATGAACCTGTAAGGACAGTGGATTTGTAAGAGGGGAAGTGAGACACAAGCGTTGGGTTGTTCCCGTAATGCTATGTAGTAAATGACAAATTTTTTGGTCTTATCGTGTAGGAGACATCACGAAGTACTAACAACAAGATGGCCCAACCAATTGTGGAAAGGAAGTGATAACCAAGAAAAGAGAAATCGCTACGCCTCCAATCTCATATAAATGAGGGGATGAGGGGAGGAGGTGTGCTAAACGGACTGCTCCTGAAACTCACTGTTGGCGTCCTCTGCCTCTCGTCCCTAAACTACCTCTTCTACCCCCTCGTCCCGTTCCTCTTGCTGGCCCTTGGCCATTATCCACAGCAGGGGCCGGTCTTGGTGGTAGCATCTCAATGATATCTGGCAGGCGGGGGCCTCTAGAAGGTCTAGGTACCCGTCTTTGAGTCGAGCTTGAACTCGCTTGCTGATGGAGCTTTCTTTTTCTGGATGTAGTTGCTGTAGACCTGTATCGATCAGACGAACGTAGGCTTAGTTAGTTTCCTGTTATGTAGGGCTACTTCTCCTCTGATAGTGTAAATTCTTCTATCAGGGGCTTACTCTTCCCACACCCCAGTGATAGGATCTCTATGTTCGAATCTGGCTCCTTTCGCGTAGGGGTTTGTGTCGCCAAAAGAGAATTCACCCATTCTGGTGGATTTTTCTCTTGCCAAACGTTCAAATTTTTCGACATAAATCCCTGCGTCTGGCATCGGGACCCCTTTGGCGCGATAACAAAAGAGGTGTGATCTAACTAGGAGATCATAGCGTAGGGCTACCATCCAACACTCGTTGGAGCTCCTGTCATTCGAAAGATTTGGTCAGTTTCCTTCGGCTGTGATCTTCGTTTAGAGTTAAAAGGATTACTTTATCTCTTTCACATGTTTCACATGTTTCCTTAGTTGGTCCGAGATGATCTTAAACTCGTACGTCGATTTTAAATACTTCCGAAGGTATGTAATGCCATCTAACCATTCTCCGAAGCTCATAGCGTACTCAGATGGTGGAGTTAAACCTCGATTTCTCTTGGATTTCGTAGAGGAGGAAGACATCTGATTCTTCTGACTTTCAATTTGATCTTTCTGGACGAAAGTCGGATTCAAGACCGTTAAAGGAACGAGCTCGTTCAGCTTCTTCATTGCTTGATTCCAGTGTGGCTGGAGAGCCGGAGGCAGGGACTTGCATGGTTTCCCGGATTGGAAACGTATGCCGTTCTGCTTAGTCACCTTCGTCTTCTTTCTGCTTGATTTAGAATGACTAGCTGACTTATCGACCTTTCCTGCATCTTTTGCTAATGGTCTCAGAATTTTCGACATCATTAGGGGCTGTGATTTCACTGGTGATAATAGTGGTATATTCTATGATGCTTACGCTTGTCAGTGGCTTTGCCTTTCATCTTGGCTTTCTCGCGCTTTGCTCGGCTGATAATCTTGTTTAAAGATCTCATCGATTTCTGTTTGCCTAAACAATTCATAACGTGAACAAAAACATTCGGACGTTAGATTTTGACTACTGTGGAGATCACCACATGTGCGATAAACGCAGACTAAGAAGTCTCTTCCCACTTGTGGGGCGCTCAATCAATGGGAGCTAGTTCGACACTCTTCTACTATGTAGATCAGAGTTCGTTACGGTTGAAGAAGAGCCTTTCCTTACGTTTCTTCTTCCCGGAGCTCTTCCCTTCTGAGCTATCAGACTCGTCAGAAGTTGACGATTCCTCCAAGGACTCTTCCGAGTCTTGAGATGAGTCATTTGAAGACGAACTAGACTCGTCTGAGTCTGATGAGTCCTACTCTGTCGAGAACGATGAATCAGAACTGTCATCACTCTCTGAATCGTGTGATTCAGACTCGGTGGGAGGCGGTGCTGGGTCGTCTTCGTCTTCTGCCGGTACCGGGTGACCTGCAGCCTCTCGATTCAAGTTATCGATTTCTCTGGCTACGACGTTTCTTCTTTGTTCTTCTATAGCTTCCCCGTCCAGGTCTTCGTCAGCAGGGTTATCTGTTCCTGGCAGGTCGTCCCGTTGGCGATCTTCTTCGTTATGGTCTGAAGAGGATGGAGGGTTTATAGGGACTACATCATCTCCTTCTACAGGATCCGCTCTCGTACGTCTAGAGTTACGTGTAGCTATCGTGATGGCCATGCTAGGATGGTTAACGGGATTATTGGAAGGAAAATGAATTGATTGGGCTAAAAAGAACCTCAGCGAAAAGGACTTGGACGGAAATAAATGTGTAAAGGATTTATGAAAATGTATTGAAAAAGGGAATCTTTCCTAGAAAGGATTCTTCTTTAAGTTCAGGTTATAATATGTGAGATTGGACTATTAGGAAGGAGAGGATTGAGCAACTTGTAAGGAATAAGGAAAGGAGAGAAACCTGGCGAGAGAGACAAGGGAAGCAATCGTGATATTTGATTGAAGTCCTTTAACCAACTCTCTTCGCTTTAGGGGTTCTGTAGATGATGACGTTGTATCCTCTTACTCATTACGTCTATTCCTTAAGAGGAAATTCAAATGACCAGAAAGGGAGTGTAACTCCCTCGGATTTCATTTCTTACATGTATTCTCACTCTCGATCTCTCGAGGCACGCCTTCGTGGACTTGCTCCACATTTCGTGCCTCATGTAAAGTCGAAACAATTCTACACCATTTAACTCTTCTAAAATATAAGATCCTCCCACGTGTTGTTTAACAATTCTAAAAGGCCCATTCCATCTATTCTTGAATAATTTTCCCCATTGAAATTCCAAACTCTTATTATAAGTTAATTCCAAATCTCCTTTTTTTAATGGCTTCCTCATTCTATGCGCATTTTTCTTATCCCAATATATAATCCCTTGAACTCTTGCTTTCATCATTTTATCATATGCCTTATTAATAATTTCTTCTCTACATAATAATTGTTCCATCCTTGCTTTTAATAATTCTTCTCCCGTGGTAATTCTTTCCCAATCTATACCTAAAAATGTCCCAGCCTCTAAATCAATTGGTAATACTGCTACTTGATTAAATATCATCTCATAAGGAGACATTCCAGTTGTTCTTTTCGTGGAAATTCTATCAGCAAATAAGACTTGAGGTAAAA